GGGGGGGGGGGGGGGGGGGAAGGGGGGGGGGGGGGGGGGGGGGGCGCACCGAGGTGCACGGTGACGCTCTGCTCGCTCGTACATGCTCTGCTTCGCAGATGCAGATGTTCGTGGCAAGGCCAAACCACCAGCCTTTTGCAACTGGCGTTCCCTTGAGGGTCTTCTCCGATACATTCTGATTGTTTGTCGGCCCCACGGAAGAGAAGCGGGGGAGAGAAAGTGTGACCGAACCGAAGGCGTGAGCACAGATGGGCATTTGATTGCGCCGTCACGTTGTCCGGTTCGAGGTTCTAATAGACCGGAGACGTGGACATGACAGCTCTCTGGTGTCCCACGTTAGCAAGCGCTTTAGTTTCTGTACAAAATTGCTTTTATCTGCGCTCCACGTCTGGAATCACTGGAGCCGCCGCGTCAGGCGTCGAGCACTTGAACGTGCATGTCTGCATCGTCGCGGCCCTCACGCTCGAATCGACTGTGCCTGTCTAAACAGTTGGCTGGAACGGTAGAGGAAGACGAGTCGTTAGAGAGGCTCCTAATACAGCTCCTGTGCAACCTATCGGGCTTCAAGAACAACCAACTAAAGCTAGGTGAGTGGGTGTATGGAAGACTGAATCGTCCACATGATCGCCAGAAGGGTATGGAATCCACAGGGATGGCCCTCCCTCTCATTCTGTTTTCGTCTTTCCCCCTGTCTCCACCCCAGGCGCTCGAGAACTCCCGGTTATCCGGCTGCTAGTTTAGTTCGGGACATTATCCTATTCTGCAGGCATCCAGGGAACCCGTTGGTTCGGTTGTCATCATGTACAGTAGCGCTGCCATGTTCTTCAGAACGAACATGGGACACACGAAAGAACCCGACTGTGGCTTCAGCACAGAACGCCACCGTCCCAACCGTCACCTCAAGCCCTAGCGTTCGAAGCCGACCCTAGCACAAGGAGCCTAGGGGACATCGCTTTCTAGCTCGGCGAACGTCGCAGGACGCTTTCTCCTGGGTCTTTCGACTCGAACCGCTGCTGATGCGGAAGAGGGTGTCGCTTGTGCGGCATACAGGCGGTACCTCTAAGCCCCATCCTTCGTCATGGGTACCACCTAAAACTGTGTCGGTTCTGGGTTGAAAAATAAAACCACCGTGCAAGAAAGGACGCCGCATGTTACCTGCGCTCAAAACGGGGCCATTGTTTTACCAAGTGTGCGCATCAGCCAAGTCGCCGTTTTTTCGTCTCCTTCGAATGATTTCTCAAACACTTGCTGCGACACGCGATAAACCTGCACGCCGCCGCCGCCGCGGTCGCTGAAGTGGAGGAGGGCGCCATCCGGATCATCTCCCGCGCGGCCGAGAGGACCGCTTCGGTGGACGTGGTCCGCCTCTGCGCCAGCACCCTCTGCAACTTCGCCGGGGAAGGGAGGGCCAGGCCCAAGATGTCAGACAGCCGGACGGCACAGGTGTGTGTTGGGCGGCGGCGATGACTGGAGGCCGCACGACGAAAGAAAGGGGCGTGCTTGCCTGAAGACAAAAGTGCGATGGTAGTAGCGACGACGACGACGATGATGATGACGATGATGATTTCAGCCACATTGATCGGGCGTAGCGGAAGGCAAAGACGAGAGCGGTATCGTTGCTCATCTCGCCTCTGGTCAAGCACCTTGTATCCGTGTGTGCGCTAGCTCTGAGTATGGCCCACGTCCTACCAGTACCAACGGGTGAGACCCACATCCAGCGATCAGCAAGAGCAATAGTTCGTGGAAATTCAATAGATCCCGCGGGAAACCAGTTGGTGTCAGCTTGCGGAGTTAGACTTTTGTAGAACCATAGACAGCAGTAGAAACAATCTTGGCCAACATTAAATGCTTAGTGGGAGATCAAAAAGCGAACTTGGGTTTCTGGCGGGGATACTTCGAAACATACACACGAGTGCCCCGCGCCCAGCAGTAGCTGTAGTCTCAAGGCGAGAGGTGCGTCACTGCCGTTGCATATTTCCGTCGAAAGGCGCTGTTGAACCTGACGAAGCACGAAGACATCGGCATCCGGCGAGAGGTGGCGCACACGATAGCGAGGCTGGCGGCCGACGCGAGCTGCAGAGAGAAAATCCTGCAGTACGGCATCATCCCGATCCTCGTGACCATGAGCACCGCACCCGACCTGGATACCACCACAGGCCGGTGAGGGAGAGGGTGTACTCATAGTCGTGCATGCCGTAGTCGTTTGACCATTGACCTCGCATCCCTACAAAGCCGGGACGGAGCACGCCGGGTTCTCACCGGACCAGGCTCTCACATCACCAAGCGCGAAGCGCCGTGAGGTATTTGGCGAGTCGCATGAAGGGTGAGCTGCATCCTGCTAAGGGTGTTCGAGGGGGGGGCTGTACCGTGAGAGGGAAGAGCAACGCGTCACGTCGGAGCTTTTCATTTCGTACATATATAGGATACCCATACACGAGTACACACCTGAACTATCCCCGTCGCATCACACATAAGGGCTATCGTTTCGTAACGGGAATAGTAAAGCGGTTCGCCGGGTGCGTACAGCGCGGAATATATCTTCGGTAGTTCCTTCACGGGCACCCCTCCCTCGCTATAGACGTACCCACCTCTCCTGCCAAAGCGTTTGCACAAACGCCACATACATACCATTGTTTAGATCTCCGAACGCCGAAACGCAAGTTTAACCATGCACTGGTACTGCCCCATTTGCCGCCGAGACAGATGCATCGCGCTGGCTTTTCGGGTGCTCTCGTCGGATCGAAAATTCGCCGAGATAATCGTCGACGGCGGAGCGGTGGATGCCCTCATCTCCCTCACGAGGTCCACTGATTCCCCCTGCCGCCTAAGGTGGGGTATCGACAAGAGGGGCATCGACGGCAATAGGTCGCAGGGGTACTGACCATCTCAATGCACGCATGTACGGTGCGCGAATTGTTTTCCGCTATCCAGGACCTCCCGAACAAACCCTTAGCCTTCTTCTCGATCCCACATCCCATTCTCAAGATCGAATAACTAGCCGCCTACCTAGGCAATCAATGTTCTCCGATCGGCGGCGCACTAACATACGCCACCAATTCCTGCCCCTCTCGCCCCCCCCCCCCCCTCCCCGTCGTGGCACTCCTCTTCTCCCTCCTTCTTGGGTATCGTCCCTGTGAACGCTGCCAAACCTTCCCCCTAAAACGACGACCCTTCACCAAACAACCCCACCGAAAAACTCCGGTGCGACGGGCAACGAAGCTGCGCACAGTCTCTTTGCAACCTGATACGCTTTGCTATCCGCCTGGACTACCTGATCGAGTGCGGGGTTGTGTCAGCCCTTGTCCGACTGGCGGATCCCGGCGATGAGGCCACGTCGGAGTGCTGCGCGGCCGCGCTGTACCTGTTCTTCTGCCACCCGGCGGTGCTGGCGCTGATTGACGGGCGGGAGGTGATCAACAGGGAAAAGGGGGGTGCAGATGAACTCCTAGCGTGTACCTTACTAGGTTGGGCTTCCGGCTTACGAGGTATTTTTGGTTGGGCGGGGGGTTTCGGTCGAGCCTTGTACGAAGCATTCAGGTTGAAGGGTACGAACGGTATGAAATGCGAAGACCACACGACTTCACTCGGAATTACGCGACCAATACATATGTTCCCGCCCGTTGCGCCGGGAGCATCTAGGCAGTGTTCACGAGCATGGTAGAGAGGGTGCCGAACACCCGAGCGTAGGTGTTGCAGTCACACCTCCGAAGAGAAGCGACGGGACGCGAATTTGATTATCTTGGCCTGTCATGTCCGTTTTCCTCTAGTGAAGCCGTGGTCAAGCGCGCCGTCAATATAAAATAATGCGTTGTTTGACGACAGCGATCAACCATCAGACGCAGCTACGGGGGAAGAGCAAGCGAGAACATCACGCGATAATGCGATCGTTTCCTCCGGGGAATTGTCGCCCCGATGGTCTAGTCGTTCTCCTCGTAAACCTACTGTGTAGTACTAGAAGTATGGAGCAGGTTGGCGTTCCATTGTCTCACAGGAGTGGAGAACAAAAACTCGAAAACTGCAACCGAAAACGATTAGTTCGGGAGTATACACACCACGAGTGCACGGTCGACGAGGGACTGGGACGGCTGCACCCTTTTCGCAGGAGGTGGGGCACAAACTTTATGTGGCCTTCCTCCTGCGCGACTCCTGCTGACACGTCAAACGCATACACGGAAAGGGTGTGAAAACTGATGGCGCCAGAATAGATCGGACGAGCACACACACACACACATACACGCACACACACACACACACCCTCACGGGGTCCCAGTTCATGGCAGATAGAAGTTTTTTTGTGTTTTCAACCGCACTAAGACTGATGTCTTTTCATTGGTCAGCCGGTTTGCGCGGTCGATGCTAATAAACACACACACACACACACACACACACATTGTTGTGTTTTCAACCGCACTGAGGCTGACGTCTTTTCATTGGTCAGCCGGTTAGCGCGGTCGATGCTAATAATAATAATAATAAAAACACACAAACACAATATTTCATGTCTCTGCCTGCCCTCTGCTGTCGATATTCATTGGCAGGTCATCCGCGCGCTGATGGACCTCTGTCGAGTGGGCACGACGAGCGTCAGAAAGCGTTGCGTGGCGGCGATCTGGAACATGACCAATGTGGAGCAGGTGGCGCACAGTGGTGGCAGCGCCGCGGAGAGCATCCCGATGCTTTTGGTAAGAGGAAAGGATGGCGAAACTAGCGCATCGGGATGGGTCCAGGAAGAGGAATATGTTATAGTGTGAGTGTGGTTCGAATATGCAACGGACAGCCACATGTTCGATGGTTGAGGTGCGTAGACCCATGTGAAGAAGGCAGAAATTACAGTGCATACCCGCCTCAGTAGGTTTGTTTCGGTTTTTCACCAAATAAGCCCTGTTCCCTTATGTCACGTTCTACAGGGGCTACTGCAGACGGAGTCGGACAAAGCGCTCCAGGCAGACTGCGCCGCGGCTTTGTACAATCTCGCCAGAAACCAGGAGAACTGCCAGGTTAGAGCAAGCATTCAGCCCGTGTAGCCTTCCCACATCTTCCGTACTCCAAGCCTCAGCATCCGACGACGAACCGCGGCGTCGTGTATGGGGATATACCGCAAAACACGAGTGTTTCGGTGTGCCGGGTGTGCTATCTCGCTGGTGGAGCTCTTCAAAGTTTCCCCACGTCCTTGATTTGTCCAACAGATGTTTTTTGTTATCCAACAGTCAAGGCTGCTAGCGTCGAGTTCGCGTCCCTTTCAGGCTACGTGCACCGCTGACTGTGTTGAGTATCCTCCTGGATATACCCGGTTCACATCACATGTCGGGAAGACGTCCTTGCGGTTTGTGAACAATACAGCGCCGCCTCGCTAGTCACTGATGTCTGTCGTGGTTCATTTCATTTCCCCGTTCCTCGTCATAATTTTTCCTTCACAGGCGATGATCGTGTCCGGGGCGGTGCCGCCTGTCATCGTATTGGCGAAGTCCGGGTCGTTTGAGACCAAGACGCAGTGCATGTCGATCCTGCAGCGCATGCTGCTTGGGAGGACCATGCCTGAAGAGGTCAGCCGGTGGCTCTCGTGTGTTTGCTGTGTGTGAAGTACGACGAAAAGCAAATGCTCCGCTTGCGAAGGGTGGCATCCGTCAGTTTCACACCAAACAAAGTACCCACGTCGAGAAGTGCGACATAGCTTGCTTGTTCAGGCGTGCCAGGATACACCTCTTTTCAGCAAGCATGCTGTCAAGGATATGAGTATTTCGCCGCTCCCACTCTGCCGCACCCTTTCAACACCCATTTCCCAGTTGGAGACAGCCATTTACTCGATCCCTGTTTCACAGCGCGAACACTGTCATGAATACACCCGCCAGATCATGACCAAGTCCTTCGTGAGGACACTCCTAGACATGTCTAAGATGGAGCACCGGGACACGCAACAGCGCGTGGTGATCGCCGTGTACCGCATCTCCTGTTGCGAAAGAGGCCGAGAGCTCCTGCTTGAGGAAGGGGCGCCAGAGTCTCTGATTCGTCTCATCAGCAAGCCGAACGAAGAGATGCGAAAGGTTAGCTTGTTCTCCGCCACATCGCTGTGCAGCGAAAGACACCGAGCCTTTCCATCGGATCCTTATTGAGCTGCTCCATTGCCGGGGGGAGGAATCAGCACTCTGCTCCGAGCTTCCCGAAGTTTTACAATCGATTTCGATGCCCGCAACGCTTCATCGAATAAAATGGCTAGAGTCTATTTCTGCATATGCCCACCCACAGTTCACTTTCGCTATTGCGGTGGGGACGTTGGCAATCCTCCACACTTGTCCGTGTTGACATTAGACGCTATCGCTTTACTTTTTCATAAAAAATCTCGAGCCCCCTAATCCCATCGGTGGTCCCCGCTATGAAACGCCTCCCACCCCGACAGCTCTCGTCCTTGTCTTTTTTTTCTAGTGAACAACTTTGTTGCTGGTTTTGGCACTGTAACAAGTCCCATACGCCACGAGTGCCCTGCACCAATCCGTTGGGCCTTATCCAGGGCTGTGCAAACACTCTCCTCAACTTAGCCTACGACCACGGGCGCGAGATTGAGATCACCAAGTGCGGCGCCGTGTCGGTGCTGCTAATCACGGCACTCGTGGCTTCCGATAGCGACGAGACGAGGCACGCCTGCACGAAGGCCTTGACGAACCTGCTGTGTGAGAAGCAGGTACGTACACGAATACCGGAACAACGTGTTGCCCCGCCAAAGATGCGATAGAGAATGAGCTTGTGTGCGAACGGACTAACCCTGTACTTTGAGTGCGAGAAAACAACTCTGTACTTTTGAAAGTGTGGGCGAACGCAGAAACGGGGTGCGATCAATTTCTAAGGTCCGAAATGCCCCACAACCAAGAGAGTGTGAAACGCGACCAACACGTGAAAGCAAAGCTCTCTCTAGACGAGATCGGTCCAGAACCATCATTTTCAGCACTGACTGCAGCCTCTTCGTTCTGGAGGATTCGAGCGTATTATTATAAGGAACGGAACCCTGTGCGTTGTCCCGCACTTCGACCATATTCATGCAGCGATGTGTAGTACTCTAGCGCATGCGTGAAGACAAAAGTATTGTGTGTGCTCGACCGTTACACTGAAACATCGGATGTACAGAGTTCTGCACCGTGTTCTACGCGCCAACCTGTGTGTTCCCTCCGGGATGAGATCAGTCTACAGGTTCGAAGGCCCCTGTAGCAGCCCCGTGGCACCTGCTTCGCGCTGCGCGGTGACGGTATTGGACGGCCATCGGAACTCTAGTCGACGGACTAGACTTAACAATCTGCAGTGTTGAAGAGAATAATAGGGAGTTGGAGCGGCATCGGTACGTCCCGACAGGGGGCCGAACGCCCACGAAGGAATGTTAATGGGCTTCGACCAACGATGATGCCAACAAGAGCCATGGGTAGGTTCACCTTCCCCGATCGCACTCCCCCCGACCTTGGACAGGCGCACCGTGGGATGTTCAAGGACGGCGTGGTGTGGGGGTTGGCGGCTATGAGCAGGTCGAACGACGTTACCATCGCGAAGTTGTGCTCAGTGGCGCTGTGCAACCTGAGCTGCGAGTACTGGAAGGAGATTGCCATGTCCAACTGCATGCAGGTACATCGCTGCAGAACAGCCCTCGCGTTTTCTGCAAACATCCCGAGACCAGAGAGGGAAATTCGACGTGTAGACCATGTTTCACCCTGATGGAACTGTTGGTGTTGGTTGTGTTTCACGTCGAACACCTCTCCGCTGTAGCTCTTCTTGGGCTCTTCTTGCATCTTCAAGGCTTAGAGAGACACTTTGTTCTGGGGTCTAAAATGCCAATGTGACGTAAGATAGGACGTTAGATGCCCAAAAGAAAGAGCGTTCTATGTCCAAATGAAGACATGATTTCCGAATTAATCGTTGCACTTGAAAAGAAGCAAGATTCCTGCGACCAAGAAACTCCGCTTACGACAACGAACCAGGGTACGCTACTAAAAGATTCCAACAAGGAATAAGAGCCCGTTGCTTGAGCTCAGGGAAGCTGCGTAACCATCAAGACGTTCAAACAATTATCTAAACACAAGCGGTAACCATACCAGTTCGTCACTGGTCAAGTTCATTGCCCTCAAACCAACATTCTTTTTGGGCCCCGCCCTTCATCATCACCAAGATGCTACGTGCCCGTCCAAATGTCATCGCCGCCGTCGCCGCCGTCGTCGTCGTCGTGCAGGCCGTGTACGGTTTAGCGCGCTCGTCCGACGAGGCTGTGATGTCTGCGGGGATGAAGGCGCTACACAACGTGCTGTTGCGCGCGCAGCACCTGGAGGGGGTCGGCCACATCTTCTCCGGCACGGTGCGCGCTCCCGGTGTACACCCCACCGAGACAGGCCACATCTTACGAACCCGCCATCAGACCTCTCTGGATACCCTGAATTTCCGCCTTCTGTCCGCCCGTTTCACTGTCCGGGCAACGTATCAACCAATACGCTTTTTGATCGAGTGTGTTAGGCCACCGCACGACAGGTTTGTCCTGGTTGCTCCAATTCCTTCGCGGCAAGCCCCGAGCCTACAACAGCGGCAACGGCAATGGGCAGCTACCTGCCGCACTTCTCGCGCATGCTCGTGTGTCCCTCTGTATACCGACACAGGTACCCATCGCACGCCGGGCTTTGATGCACAAGTCCAAGGAGATCCGCCTGGTGGGCGTGAGGCTCACGAACCTGGTTTCCACGGCCTTGGTGGCAAGGCAGACGGCGATGCTCTACAGAATTGTAGAACGCGTTAACGTTGGCGACTTCGACAGCGACGAGCGTGAGTGTGGCAAGGTGGCGGTACGGCTGTAGCCCCGTAGCTACATCAAGTTTTTTTCGTTTTTCGTAGACAACAAATGCCTCAAACGCAGCCACAGCGAGTGGAACGCATGGCAAGCATGATGAGCACGTATGTGGTGTATGAAAGTGGAGGCGCTGCATGGGGGACAAGGTAGTGTATGCATTCAAGATCGCGGGGCTGCTCTACCACTGTACCAATCTGCTATACCACCCCCAGCTCGCCCTGGTTGACGGAAATACATATCATGCCCTGATTTATCCTCTTCTCCTCCTTCTCCCTATATTTTTGGTGCGCTCAATAGTGGTAGTGAAGACAGAAGAGTACAGTCATCGTGTGTCTGCCATAAGCCAAACTGGTGCCCATCGCTTGGGCGTCGAGAGATGTGTTCCACGCCTCACAGAATGCGTCCCCCGAACGTCCAACAGAATCGGGAGCTTCGAGCACAGACAAACATTTTGCTTTGCTCTATTTTCCAACTTTTTTTCTCCGAATGGTCTTCGGGCGTCGCTGGTGGCATCATGTTTACAGAGTGAACAACACCGCCGCCTGTTCAATCGTCTGACCGCAATATCATACAAAACATGAGAACGCCCCTCCCTCCCCCACCGCTCCGAACGCGACCGCAAACACGCAGCCCTGAGCTATTCCTTCTGTTGCGCGCTCGAACGGTTTGCGCTCGACCCGGCCACCCGCTCCTCCGTGCTCCATTCGGGCTGCATCGACAACTTCACCGCGCTGTGTGCCATGAGCGGTCGCATCATGTCTCGGCTGGCGCAGTTCATGTACAGCGTGTCCTGCTCCCCGGAACTCGTGCCGAGCCTGGTGCTAGAGCACGACGGCATGAAGGTCATAGCCGCCGTGCTTGAGCCGGTTGTCCAAGAGGAGGAGGACGGATCGGTCGAGGGACGACAGGGCGGTGGAGCGGGGAGCGGGGGCGGCGAGGACCGAAAGGAATCACTCGACGGGGCAAAAGAGACGTGCGCCGCGCTGCTCTTCAATATGTCGACCCAGGTACCGAGGCCCCGCCGGCGTTCTTAATATGTCGACCCAGGTACCGGGGTCCCACCGGCGTATTGTGTGTTTTCATGGCGTTCGTTTCCACGGCCAATGAGGATGTCCTACGCGGCAGACGGGGTCGGATGGCGACTGCGCTGCGTTGCTGGAAGCAGAGACATTCACAGCGGTGGGGTATCAGAAAGGGGAGGGGGGGGGGGTGGGGGCTAATAGAATTAGTCTGCATCTTCGAAGAATGTTCTCTCCAAGGGCTGGTCGCGGTAGGCATGGTCGACCAAGATATCGCTTCCGCTTTGACTCGTACAGGGCCGGTTGGTGTTGCGCCAAACGAGTGTTGATCCTGGGGGATATAGATTCTTTGCGTAGGCCTCCCTACAAGAGAGTGAGCATGCCTGAGTCACATTGCGCGCACGAGATCTCCGAAATGAACAGAACATTGTGCATGTGGTATATGTTTTGAAACTCTCTCACAACCGATCAGCAGGTTCGTTGGTGACCCGAAAAAGCTCTGCTCTGACTTCGAGCATGCTCCCCTGCGTACCCCTTTCCTCACGCCAAACCATTCACCACGTAACTCTGTTCCTCTCCGTTTTTGTTTGTCTCGCCGGTTGAACTCTCTGCCGCAGGATGAGGTTAAGACAGAACTGGTCCTGAAGGGGGGAATCCGGCTGGCTTTTGCCCTGTGGGAGGGGGCTAGCCCGGAAGCCCGGCGCAGCTGCTCTCTCGTTGCGTGTAACCTCGCCGTGGGGAAAGTGAGCCAGCTACCGTGCTCGTCTATCTCGGTCAATTTATAGCTCGCAGAGGTGTCCGGATGGGATGATGCCAAGCGGCGGCGAAAGAGAAAATTTCCACGAGTTCAGAGCGCCTCGCTTCCTCGCTGAATTGCAGTTGGAGGTCCGGCTACGGATAGAGGCATCCACTGCCAACACGCTTTAGAAGCGATTTATATAGCTGTCTACGCCACTGGCAGGTTTGGCTGGTTTCGAACCATAGATTCAATCCACGCCCAGAAATGGATCAGTACGCTCATGATGTGTGAGTGCGGGCGGGCGTGTTCACGAGCCCCCCCTTGTTTGAGTCGGGGGTATGGGGGAACCAGTACGTTCCGACAGGCGATATGCTTGCCAAGCGGTTTCATGAAAAAGCTTCCTCAAGAGAGCAGGCAGCAGCCCCGTTGTCTGCGGCTGAGACAGAAGACGAGATCACAATGCGCAATGAACCCGAAAAAACGTTTTTTCAGGTCAATACCGCCAAGATGGTTCGACATGGCGCCGGGCAGCTGCTGGTGGAGCTGGTGAAGAACACCGATCCGCTCAACGATGCAGGAGTGAGGAAACGAGCGAGTGCAGCGTTCAGAAACATCCTGTGCGTGTCGGTGAGTGCATGAGTGAGTGGGATAGGAGAGCGAGAGAGGGAGGATGGGAGGCTGTTCGGTGTGCTGCAGGGTATTCTGCAACACTCACACAACCCCGATGCCCCCCCGGTCCCTCAAGTTCGAATCTCAGGACGTCTGTCCAATTCTCTCCTAACAAAACATGCGGCGAAAACGATCGGCTACTTAACTTAGCCCCCGACACAAGGAGATATGGGTACATAATTACAGAGGCGATGTTTATTCTCGGCTCCCGAGCGTTTTTTGTCGCATCACGCGTTGAATCAAACATGGCTTGTCATGTGCCGCCGGCTCTCAGCAAGGTGAGCGCTGGTAGGTTTGCGAATGCGTGCCTCTCATCCTTTCTGTGAACTACTGCAAGCATCGGTGTTGCTGTAGTCGAGCTTGATTTACAGGACGACGACGTCTGGGCCGTGTGGGAGAAAATACAAGACTTTCTCGAAGGGCGTTTCTGGCCCTTCACGCTGACGCAAACATCATTACAGAGCTGTTGACACCCGGCATACACAGTTCCCGACAAACGCATCACGCGTGTAGAAGATACTTCGAAAACAATCTGGAATCAGTCTGCAATTTCACGGTAAGCCTCCTGAGCCCACGCCGTCTGCCTGTGGGGCACGATGCGGTGCAGGGAAACCACGTCCAGCTGGCTGAAGAGGGGGTGATCCCCGCTTTGATCGACCTCGCCAAGACGGATTGCCCCGTCGTGAGACGGAACTGCGCCTCCGCAATGAGGAGCATGACGTGCAAGGCGGAAGTTAGGCAGCTGCTCGTGGCCAGCGGCGCCATCAAGGTCATCCTCGACGACGCCACGAATCAGGTGCTGTCATGAATAAGATTGATTGTGCACGCCAACGTGGTTTGGAAGCGTGTAGAGCACTGCTACACACTCTTTTTGACTTGCTGCCGGCCGCTGTGTAGCGCATGGTGTGCGGAGTCACAAGCCCGCGCGAGCACGCCGCGGGAAGTACGGCGTCGTTTGCGAAGATACCATCACGCGATAGCACCAGGAAAATGTAAACATAAGAAATATGGACAGAGTTCTGGCACACCCTTCGCGACCACGCGTCAACATGGGGTGGTGGCCCTGCGAGAGAGAAAAGCGTGGACTGGATCTACGTGCTCACCATTTAGTATGTGCTACGGTTCAGGCCGTGTGTCATCATACGCAAAAGACAATCCAAGAAGGTTCAGCCCTGGCTCGACACAGAGGTTTTCTGTCGTCGGTCCATCAAATCCTGAAAGTGTGCAAGGCGCGATCGAGCGAGTGGAAGAGTTTACCAAAGTTGAATGAAAACACGCTGTTGGATGGGATGCGGCAAGTTTGGTACTACTTGCGTCATTGCCAGGCTGCCAAGTAGTCACGCCCACAGCTACTGCCGGGCTCCAAAGCAGTCCGAACGGGGTCCATCACATTCGCCTGTCCACATGGCGACCCCCCGCTCATAGAAAAAACTTGGAAAATGCCACAAAGCAGGTGATGTTTCCTCAAAACATTACACTGACCGTGGCCACCGGGTTGAGGCTGCCCAAGATACTCAGCAATCGCTATCGGTATTTTGTGGCAAACCCGTTCAATTTCCCCTCTTGTTTCTTCCTACCCTTCTTGTTGTGCCTCCTTGTGTCTTGGAAGGACGCCGACGAAAGCCTGACGATCGACAACGAGCTTCTTTGTGAGATCGAGGCCGAGTCTTGGGTCAACGGAACTAGAGGAATATTGGTAGAGTCGAGGGCACCCGTGTTACCCATGCTGGAGCAGAACTGTTCGCTGCTCCCGGCGCCCGCCGACAGCCGTACCCAGAAAGCGGCAAGGGTGGCCGCGGCCGCCGCAATAGAGAAGGAGGCGGGAGACGCGCTGTACAGCATGCCTTGGCAGAAGCTTCAGGTCAGACACATTGCGAGCGGCCAAACGGCTTCAAGAGCACTTTTGTCGCCCGCCTTTGTTTGGAGGCTTTAAAAATTGTTAGGCACACCGCCTCCTTGCAAAACATCTTCTTCCGACACCCTTCTCGCCGTCTTTGAGCAGGCTCTTGACGTCGACCTCCGAGAGCCGGACATGGAGGTGTCCACCAAGCAAGACGACGCGAAACGTTACGACGATCCTGGAATAAACGCCGCGCTCGCCGGAGACACCGACGCCGATGGGCCCCGGGGACTGCCATCATCGACGTCGGCGAGCTGCGGCAAGGTGGAGCCAAAGGTGCCGCTCCCGCCTACACGGCAAACACCCTCCACCTGGTCTTGCGTCTCATACGGCGATTCGAGGACAGCACAGCTTTCCTACTCATCTCCTTCATCAACTCACATCAAGCAGTTATTGCGTACGTAACGGCTGCGAGAATTTCGCTCGACGCTCTTTCGCCCAACGGGCGTGTCGTGCAAGAGTTGGCTGCCTGACAGTTTCACGGGTGATAAATATGGGATAGGCACAATTCGTTTTATACTATGAAATTTGCAGCATCCAGATTCATGGGAGAGTACAAAGTGCGCCCGCGGCTTCCGTCCGCATGCCCTTGCTTGCCACAGGAAGCCTCCCAAGCAAGCAGAACGATGCTGGGGCACCCCGACGATACCGACGAAGAAGACAGCTCCCTCCGCGGGAGTGCGGGGAGCTCCAGCAGCATCAACGGGACAAATTGCAACAACAACAACAACAACAACCGCGATGACAGCAGCAACACTGCATTCGACAACGAAGAGGGTCACACAGATTCGACCAGCCACAGCAGCTGCGGTGGAAAGGTTAATCCTCTGATGAGCCTCGGTTCCACGCCAGAAGAAGACGAGGACGACACTTCTAGCGATAGTGACGGCGGCAGAAACGACAACTCCACGGCCGACGGGAGTGGGAGTAGCTGGACAACAGCGACAAAGTCTCGGCGGCATCGCCAGCAGCGTAGTTCTTCGGTGTCGGAGGCGACAAGCACCTCTTCGGAATCGGACGGTGGCCTCAGCAACGAGCAAGCTTCCTGGCGACGAGGGAAACGCCGTGGTGGCGTGCAGATGTTTGGGAGACAGCATCAACCGCCGGCCGGCATTGACGGAATGCCCGACCCTTCGGTCGTCGATTGGGAAGTGGCGGTCGTGAGGGCTTCGGCGAACGCGGACGAAATGGTATGTGCGATGGAAAAGGGCCAAGGTATTGGTGGTGAGGTGGGAACTTCAAACATCAACCCGTGTCCCCGTTGGTTCCACATGTAGTCCTCACGACTTGGACCCGCGGCGCGGAGAGTTCGCGATTGGTCGGAGGGTGATCGCAGTGGCCATCGCTCGCGCAACGTTCACTTTTTCGATGTACCCGCCCCGTGTGCCCACAAGATGTGATCGATTGGCCCTTGCTGTCTGCTGCGCCTCCCGGTTCCAATGCCACAACTGCTCTCCTTTTGCAACAGGTCGAAAGGTACATTCAGACGCGGAAAGAGATCCACCCTGCACGAAGGGGGTCCGTCAACATCTCCTCCATTGGCTCGCCGCGCCGTAGTTCAGTCCTTCAGCCAACCGGCGGTGGCATCAACAGCAACGCCATGGCGCTCACCGCGTCACGCCGCAGCAGCCTGTTCCCAGCTGCGGCCTCACGTCGCGGATCCGTTCAGGCGGCTGGCAACCGGCGGGCGTCGGGCGTGCTGTTTCGGCCCCAACACCAGGCGACGCAGGGCGGAACAGGCAACCCCGTCGGCAATGCTGCTGGGCGGCAGGCGAGGCGGGTGTCTGTTTCGCACCCCACCATCGCCGCAGGCGGTGCTGGGCGGCGAGCCTCTAGGGCTGGAGGAAGCATCACCACGACCAACACCACCAGCACCAGTAAGAGCGTCACCAGCCTAGCTTCGGTGGGAGAAGGCGGCACTTGCTCAGAGTTGGAAATAGGAGTACTGTCCCACTCTGATGACACGACGTCGCTCACGATGGCCGACACAACTCAAAGCTCTGGCAAAGAGGGGATGTTACCCCTGAGCTCGACAGAACACACTGGCAACGATTCAGGAGGTGCCGCGGGGCCACTGGAGACGGTTATAGTGGAGGCAGCAAGGGGTGGGATTAGGTCGTTTATGCCCATAAGAGGGGGTACGTTTGACGCCGAGGCCGGGCGCTTCCCGCTTTAGATTTTCTATATGCGTTTAGACTGCTAGACCCGTCAGCATAGGTGGACGGAGAAAACAAAGTCGGGGTAACATCTGCCCACCACCAGCGTTTCAACTTCGTGGGGATACATGTAGCCTTGCCTCCCTTTCGCGCTGGTTTAGAGAACATGGATGTTTGAGCACATAACGTGTGTCAGGATCGCCGACAAAAGTTACGGTTGTTCAACTACGTCCGCTCCAACCTCCAGACAATTTTCAAGTTGGACAGTCACGTGGGAAGCGACGTGCATCTGCCTACGGTACGTATTCCGCACCGTATTAGGCAAAATTACGAGGTGCAACAGGACCCGTCAACACGTACGGCTGAATATGTCCTCAGCCACGCTTCATGGGATCCAACGCCTTTTTCACAAGACGGACACCCCTCACATGAACGGCGGAATGCTATCTAGCGGTGCCGAAATATGTACACCAGACCAGTTGGTATTCGCGACATGCCTTGCGCTAAATCGCTTGTCGGAACTCTTTGGCGGAAGCTTGTCGAAATTCCGTCCAATTTCGCACACAGCTGGGGGGAGGAGAGTATGCTTGTCTCACATGTTCCCCTCTTGTTCCCCACATCCAATGTCCACAACCTGACTAATATATGTCTCAAGTCAGGACTCTGGGAGTCAGGATTCTGGAAAAAACCAAAGGGAACAAGGTGGGGGTCATACTGTTGGCCACGGCACCATAACCACAGCCATGGCACGCTTGCTAATAGTGCAGGTAAGTTGATACGTTCCGCAACGGGCATGGTATATAATTTATAGTTTACTAACACCACTGGCAAGCACATGCGACCACCCCCACGGCAAAACCACTCTCCCCATTTACTGCACAAGGTGTAGCCGCCAGTCGAGAACACGACCCCTCGCGGGCTGAAGGCAGACTTAGGAAAAAAAAAAATCAGACAACGCTAATGTATTTGTAGTCCTGCCGCGACTGTGTCTGGTGTACCCTTTCTCTCCGTCGGGAAGGTTCGCTTCCGATTCCACGTGAGCACAAATCGGCCAACCAAGCTCACAATTCCCACCCGGCAAGAGGAAGGCCGACCCGCTGACGTAAATAACTGCTGCTGCGTGGGAAACACAACGGGCATGCCGACTGGCACCGTTTTTCCCTCATCGCGGCGGGCGTGCGTAAATTATCACCCGCATTCAGCGCTCGATGTGGCTGCTACACCTTCTTCCACATGCTAAAAAGAAAACGCTTCGATGCGTACCCCCTACAGCCCGAGAGCCATTGTTGTGCAACCATGTCTTTCAGTTGAAATCAAGCGATGGACGAAAACTGTTCTCATCTGTTGCTTAATGATTCGCCAGGGGGTTCGAAAAAACGACCCCAATGTGGTAAACTATATATTATCGATGTGGCCCAAATGCTGTTCGGTACCAAACCAGACCGCCGAAGACAAAAGGATGATGTAACGTCCAATCCATCTATCTGGACCAGGCGCTAGCGCCCTATTTCCGAGCTTCTCATTCCCCGTCTCCTGGACCAGGCGCTAGCGCCCTACTTCCGAGCTTCTCATTCCCCGTCGCTGGTTGTCCTGTGAAGTGTCAACGGCGATGAGGGGCCATGAGGGGGCAAACCTTCTTCGTCCGCATCACGGGACCCCTGCGGCTGCTGTGTTTTGGGAAGTCTCGTCGGGGAACACCTGCGCGTTCGAGAAAGCAGACGAGTAATTCTCATTGGATACATAAGTACGCAAACATGTTTAATCCTGTAACAGAGTCAGGTTGACTGCACCAGACCCACGGGCAAGTGTTCGATCCAACCACCGCGGACGGGGTTGGCTGCCGAGAGATATGCCAACGCACCATGAGAGGACGCTGGACTAGGATGAAGAATGCGTCTGAAGGGGTTTCCAACGGACAATACAGCAGAGGCTTTCTTTCTGTTCTCCGCTCATTTCGGCCGTTTGCCTAACCCTGATTCCCGCAGCCCTTTGTCTGCCTACCACGTTTTCCCGTCCGCGCCACGGCCTCCGGTACAGCGGTCGACTCGCAATGCTTGGAGTGATACACTCATCACTCCCACAGCCGACAATACCACAAGAAACACGTTTGGACACACACCTCGAAGCCGTCGAAAATTCCCGTGTACTCGGCCCAGTCCACCGTCACTTCCTGAATCTGTTGAGACAAGCCTGGCCGCGACGAGGAAATTCAAGGGTCAACGAGGGGAGCCATCAGATGACGCCGGCGGGCATGGCCGGAAGCACAAAACATATGAAAGAATGTTCTCCAGGAATTCCGGAGCAACGGGGGCTAGACCGTTCGTCTCTCCGTCCTCGTGCGTTGTCCCATCTGATAGTACGGTCACCCCATGTATGCAAACGAATGCCGTGATATCGAAAAAAGCCCACCGAGGGACGGAGAGAAACAAACGCACCATGAGAGGGCGCTGGAACTACGGTAGACGAAAAACGGGTCTGAAGAAAAGGTTTTCAACGTACAATACAGCAGAGGCTTTCTTTCCGTTCTCCGTTCATTTCGGCCGTTTGCCTAATCCCAATTCCCGCAGCCCTTTGTCCGCCTACCACGTCTTCCCGTCTGCGCCATTACCTCCGGTACACCGTTCGACTCGCCGCGACCACAATGAATCGGGAAAGGATTCCTTCCCATCCCGCCGAGGTCTCCGAAACGCAAGCACTCAGGGATTTCACCCAGACTACACTTACCGGGGCCCCTCTTGCACCACCGCAGGAAGCTCCGGATGGCGCTAGTCTTCCCTTCGACGATGATCTCCGTCTGCCCTTGACCCAGCTCTTTCAGGGCCCCGCACAGCTTGCGGTTGAAGTGGGCCTCGTTCCTGGCGTGCGCTCGGAAGTATCCGCCGGTAGACTGCCATATTTCGCAATCCAACCAGGTGTTTGGGTACGCAAAAGCGGGGACGCAAGGTGTGAGTGGAAACGGGGTGGGGATGGGGGGCAGAAGAGCGCAGCGGCTCGAACGGGGGGATGACCTGGGCTGGAGATACAATACTCACAGACTCGAAGCCCATAAAAGCATAAAAGCCTCCTGACAAGGTGCGAGGGTATGGGATTACGTACTCTGCATACAGAATACAGCGATGGAAAAGACAGTTATTAGTAGTAGCATCTACCAATACCCAAATATCTTGCTGATGTAACATCTCCCAAGTTGTTCACGACCGACTCGTTGTATTAGACAATAGAGCACCAAATCAGAAACAAAAAAAACGAAATTAGGTAAAACACCCCCTGGCACCTAACGCACCTGCCCCTGAACCACTATTCGAGCCTCGGCGAGAGCTGTTCCGTCGCTGCTTCCACCGTCCGCCGCCAAACCCTCCTCTCCTGCTGTTTCACCCATCCGCAAGCTGCTTGACGCATAGGACCAACCCGTGCTGGCAGTTGCTGGTGTCGCTGTTCGAGACGGGCCTGTGTTTGAGGAGATATCGTCGATCAAATCGCAACGCCTTTCAGAAAAAAATCGTGGTACTCGTCAGGACCTATTGTTAGGAAAAAACAAAAAGGGGTCCTGACGTGCCCATGGCACGTAAAGAACTTTGTTGGGTATACACTTGGCGAAATAAGCTGGAAGGAACGGAGTCGTTGTCAAGGTTTGAGATAGAGGGGGCCGGGGCGGGACCATGGGCGATCATGCTTTCAAGTTTCAAGTTGAAGCCGTTCGGCTTTGGTCTGACATCTTTTATGCATTGGATCAGAGAGTACCTCGGGCTGCTGCCGACCAGCCTCGAGTATTTAGCACCAAGAGCGAGAGAGGGGAGGTGTGGGAGAAAGCAACGAGTACATAGTCCAATGGGGACTGGGACGACCCCACGATCCCTTGACGGTCCCGGCCGGGGGCTCCGGCGTTTGGACCGCCTGTTAGGCGAAGCCCTGTCAACCATTGTTGTCATGTCCCCATTACAAATTATTCTGACCAGTCTCCTCGCGGTGACTATTCTAACCACCACCACCGCCGTGTGCGTTCGTGGTTTCTCCGGTTTGAGACTTGAGACAGGCAACAATGGAGTTTGTGCCTGTGTACAAGTAGCAACATATACATGTTGAACGGAAATCGAAATACAAGAGGTAGTCAGTGGGGTGCGGCTCGGTCAGGCTTTACAGCGGTGTCCATTTTTGAGCAGCAGCAAGTTTTGAGAGTTCAGCAAAACACGACCAGATGAGACCCCAACAGCGACAGCATAACGGCACAATACAACACGCAGCCACCGCCTGTTGATCTGTGGGTCGGTTGGCCGGCAAGCGAAACACCCCCCTTCTCGATCCTTGTGCAAATGCAAATCGTGTGCAACGTTGGCTCTCCTTCCGCAGCATATTGACAAAGGCCCGCCATGACTGCAAGCATCCGTGCCCCTCTTGTGCAATGGCTAGGCACTCCACCACTCAAACACGAAGCACGAGCCAAATGCTCCAGCAGGCCCTAGGGGGGAATCCTCAGCCGACCGTGTGCGGCGTACACGTGCCACATGAGCAGCTACAACCGGCCGAGACTACAATTTGGCCGGCAAAGGAAGACCTCACACTCTCGTTCGCAACCACGCACCATGAACGCGGCAGAGCGAACACGCACCTTTGCAGGCGCGCGTGGTGCACGGAACGCCACTCCGGTTGCTACACGACCCGCTCCTGGCACCAGCAGCGGCAAACATGAACCCGGAGGACCGACGCAAGGACGAGGCGGCCGCCATGAACGACAGCAGCAGGGAGAGCCTCATCGTGGATATGAGACGACGATACGCCGCGTGATTCGCCACAAATGCTAGCGTTGGCGTCGTAGCTCGACTCGACGGTAGCAAACCCAAGACAGCTCTCCGTATCACGCGCAACTCGCCACACTGCTCTGTTCGCGCCGGCCTGGCCTCGGATCAGCCGAAACGCACATTGAAGAAGGGGCTCCGTGCATCACATTGTTCAAATCGTGGATACCATATAGGACTGCTAGTCGTACATAAACGTAAGATGCCACTTGTTTCGATTTTCACAGCACGATTACTCCACAGCACAAAGAGTGGTGGCGGCGACAAATGACGGTGTTGGCACCAACTCGTTGAGATCGTTCCAAAAACATATCGGTTAAGATTTTAACCCACTTCTTCGTGGAGAAGTCGAGCCAAAGAAATTTGGTCCAGGGGTTGTGGTATCTTGTGTCAATCTTGTGTCACCTATGCGTACGGTATGCAGGTTGCCCTATCTGCTGTGCCTCAATGAAGGTTTGCTGTCTGCAGCCCTGTTGTGCTGTGCACAACGCAAGCACGCCTTGGGTTCTGCCTCTCGTGACAAGATCTACGCTGTAGACGAATTGCTCTGTGCACCAAAGCTGGCTCTCGGCGGCATAGGCTCCAAGACACAGACGCGCGTGCGGCACCTACATACGTAAATGCTCTGAAGATCCATCCGCAACACACAGCAGCCAGCAGCAACGATCATGTCGTTGGGGACCTCTCGTACGTCTCGCTCGGCGACGTGCTTTGCTCTAGGCCTTCTCTTCGGCCTCCTCGTCCCCGTACCGGCCTTCGTGCCGCCTTCTGGTGCAGGAAGGCTGGCCTCGGTGAGGCGTGCCAGATGTTGTAGCGCAAACCAAGTCTGCTGCATGGGAATCAGTGTTTTTGTGTGTTGATTGTTCTGGCTCTATACAATGTAGGTTGGGCCGACGATCGTCAACCCTGTTCTAACCGAGACACACACCTTATTTTATGCGTAACGTCCAGGCACACGGGCACAGAGGGCATGCGGGTACCCGGGCAGACACGCGAGTTTTCTTGCTACGGCCTCGGCCTGAAGGAGAGACAGACGCGGAGACGGGAGCATACGAGCGCTTGCAGCAGATGTACGAGAACGACGGGTGAGAGCCTCTTGCGGTACAACTGCTGCAACGCCAGCAGAGCGATCATCGCGCCGAAGCTCACGCCCTCTTGTTATATTAATATAACGGGGTGTAAAGATCTAAGCCATCGAGGTTTCTACTGCTGTAGCACCGTAGCGATATGTGCTGAGACATTCATCACACCCAAGCGCAACAGCAGGGCACGTGGAACGGGAAAACGCACCGGAGCTATGCATAAAATGGTACTTCTACATGTCGTAATACTGCTGTCGAGTTGAACGGCTCTCGCGAGACCTGGGGCGGGGAGAATGGTCTACTCGCTGGCGTTGCTAGTTTTAGTCTACAGATGTGGCAGGTTATGATTTCGCCATTCTTGTGCGAGGTGCAGTGTAGAGACCTATAAGCAGACATACACGCATTCTAAACATATTCGACATACAACATCTGATTCGCGCTGTTGTGCAGAGTGTCCGGCGGGGCTCACGAGAAACAGGAGGGTCACCCAAGCATGTAGTACAGTGTAGTTTTTGTCACGTTTCCCAAGCTCGAAAAGCTCACAACACTAGAGTGTTGATTTTAAGGTGAACCTCGACGACAGGTATTACAAAGCTGTTGTACGCATATTCTACCAGCAGAAGTTGTAAAATTAGAAACGGGACTATGTTTTCATAATGTATTCACTGCTGTTCGTTATGAAAACATGTGGCACCAAGTGCTAACACGATAGGCAGGGTACTTACAGGGGAGACGGGAAAAGAAAACTGAGCAACATCGGGGACGATCAGGCATAATCCCCGGGTTTCCCCTCAGCTGTTACAGCTAGTCGGTGGTTGGTCTTCCGTACGTCGAGTTTGGTCCGTTTTCTTTTTTCTCTCGTTCCACTGTCACCACCAGCGGAATTCATGGGATCTCGGGTAGAAGCGTGCAGCAGGCTCTGGCTCTGAGGCGGAGTCTTACGGCTTGGTTTTTCCGGATTGGATTTGGGGGGGGGGGTCCTTTCCTGGGCCCAAAAAATACTTTGGGCATCTTACGGGTAGGAAAATGGCAAATTCCAACAGCCCGAATTGCAACAGCCCAATTTCTAACAGCGATTCCGGCCGGCCTGTTAGAAAAATGACCCATTTTCCAACAGCGATCGGGTTGGAATATCGCTGTTAGAAATGGGGGGGGGGTACCCCCTGGTCACACCCCGATCGTGCCAGAACAAGGAACTACACCGTGTGCTGGCCAAACAGAGGCCAGTATCATGCTGGTCATGCACAATTCAGGGCGTTCTGCGTCGTGTTGGCCGCACACGAGCCGATAACGTCAACCCTGCCATGTTGCTCTGCTGACGTTCTTGCCTTTCGGCCGAAGAGAGCCGTTTTTGCGCCTGCTGCGTGTGTGACCAGTTGAAAACGCACGCCAGAGAGAGGCCTTAGGCCGTCGACATCCACAAACTGCAGCCAATGGCGTGTGATGATACTCATACCCTCTGCTCGCGTACCAGAAACAGAGCGTATTGTCCAGTTTTAATTGCACACGGCCTGCAAAGTGTGTTGCGGTGTTGACTTTTTGGGCATTTTTCTTGTTCCGCCGCGTGTTTGCTCCGTGTGTCACCCGCTACGAGTCAAAAACGCATGCCCGAGAGAGGCCTTTGGCCGACGACATCCACAAACAGCAGCCAGTGGCGTGTGGTCATACACATATGCTCTGCTCGCGTCCCAGAAACAGAGCGTATCGCCCAATTTTGATTGCACACGGCCTGTCTACGTGAACGGAAGTGTTTTGCGGTGTTGACGTTTTTTGGATGTTGCCTATTTTTTTCTGGTTGCTCCAAGCGTGATCAGTCCACAACGCATGCCAGAGAGAGGCCTTTGGCCGACGACATCCACAAACTGCAGCCACTGGTGTGCGATGAAACACATTCCCTCAGCAGGCGACCGAAAAACAGGGCGCTCGGTGTCTTGTTGGTCGCACACGAGCCAAAACCGTGAACTGAAGCATGTTGTGACCCACAAGAATCTTGAATCGGCCTTTTTTTTCCCGGAGAAAAAAATATGCCTCGAGGAACCGTATGAAGGTCGTTTGGATCCAGATAGTTGTCCCTTGCAGATCACCCCCCCCCCCCGACCGAGAGCAAAAAAAAATCTCCGAAATAATCACGACGCAAGGCTCGGCCTGAGCGCGAATATGCCATTTGTTGACAACAACAAAAAAACGCCCGCTTTTAAAATATGGCGTTCTCTCGTTCTCTCTCGTCTGACACTTCCGTTGGTGAACTGTCCCTCGATGAACAACGGCACTCAGTTTTTTTCCCCGGATTCACATTTTTTTTTTGTCGTTTGACCACTTCTCCCAGAAGCTTTGGTCCTCCCCACAGCAGCCATTTGTTTGTGTACGGGCGACCGATCGAGAGCCTTTTCAACCCATGAAAAAGAGCCAACCGAGTCCATTGTACCGCTCCCACCACACCGTTTGCATTTATTTGTCACACTTTGGCGGCGGGAATAAGTTGGTTTTGTAACAGCTTGCAACCCGTGGGGTCGGGGCTGGTTCTCATGTCGGGGAATGTTGTAATCTAACCTCGACGAATTTTCCTCCCTGAGTGCGATACGAGTCGCCGTCGAGTGCGGTAACGTGGCAGATGCTCGGCCGGCGCTGCTGATGTTTGTCGCGTAATCAGAGAACTTCCCAAACTCTTCGTTTCCGTTTCCGTGGCTGTGCCTGTGGTACACACGAAAAGGTCGACCGACTACATCTTCGCGAACAACCGCGCGTGGGTGGAGGAGCGCCTGGCCCAAGACCCGGACACCTTCAAGAGGCTCGCCAACTCTCAGAAGCCAAGATACATGTACATCGGCTGCAGCGACAGCCGTGTACCCGCCCAGAACATGATGGTGCGCCAGAGACTATTCTGCTTCGTTTGTGTCCCCAGTGGCAGTGATAGGTCGGGCGAAGCATGCCGGGTGTTCCATCACAGACTACCTTTTTCATGTTTGGTGCAGTACATCGATATTGTGCTGCCGCGGTATCCTGCTCACGGACGTTGTTTTTGTGTCGGGCAAAAACCTTTTCACGAACGAATCGGCTGTGGCCAACGACAGCAGTTCGTCCATCTCAGCAGCTCAGCGAGATTTATTTCAGTTTTTTTCCCATCCTTTTCGTTTGTGTAAGATGCGGCTGTGTCGTCCGCCTTTGCTCCCGTCTCATCTCGTCTTGCTCCCGTCGCTGGGGCATCTCTGGGGCGCGTTACGTTGCGTTGCGATGTGGCAGGGTCTCAATACCGGCGAGCTCTTCGTCGTTCGCAACGTGGCAAACCTGTGCGTGAACACGGACCACAGCCTGCTGGCGGCCCTGGCGTACGCTGTCAACGTTCTCGAGGTGCGCTTGCGAGCTCGCGACCACGGTGGTGCTGCTGCCGATGTCAACCTTTTCCGGAAACACCGCCGACCTTGTTGCGTGTTGGAGCGTCGTACTCATCGGGTTCGGCAGACGGCAAGCACTATCGCTGCCGCAGGGGAACGCCTTTGGTTGGAGCGCCGAAGTAGTCTGTTTTTCCTCTCCTTTTTCGACACAAGTTCCCTCCCGCGCCTGCGGATTCTCCTTTTGTGTGTGCTGTTGACCGCGTGTCTTTTTTGTTGTAACATCGATCGCGCTAACCGACGTACTGCTGAACGGACGGCAGTCTCAGCGCGGCTAGAAACGGGAAACGTTTCTGACAACCATTGTCGCGGTTGTGGGTGGGTGTGTGCTGTTCTCTTCTCTCGATCGGGGGTATGCAGGTCACTGACATCATCGTGTGCGGGCACTACGGCTGTGGTGGCGTCCGTGCGGCAATGGAGAACATCGACCACGGGCTTCTGGAGCACTGGCTGCTGAACATTCGAAACGTGGTCCGCCTCCACAACGAAGAGCTCCAGGCAAGAAAACGGCAAAAGCAGCAGCAGCAGCAGCAGCAGCGGGGACCATGGCCCCATTCGACTGATCCTGCCTGCAAAACGGCGAATGAAGGGACCTTTTTCGAACGGATATTTAGTTTTTGACACCCCCGCCCCCGCATGCTCGCTGTGAGGAGAGTTATCAACCTCGGGATATTCTCTTGGGCGATGGATTCGCCTTCCTTGCAACTAATGGCTCGGCGCCTCGCAGGTTCCGGGCGGCCCTTCGGTGTAAGAGTACTTGCTGTTGACCCGCGCGTGTATGTCTATCAATATGTGGAGGTGCCCCGAAGCAAAGGACCCAACGGTTGAACGGATTAAGCGTGCCCTTTTCTGTCGCAAGCGGACATGCCGTGGTTCGGCTGTACAGCTGTTGTTGATTTCCTGCTTTCGTCCCCCTTCGTGCCGCGTACACGCCGAAGTCGGGCTCACAGCATTCAGTACTTTTTTTAACATCAGCATGGGCACCACTTTTTCAGCGGCTTCAAAGCCGCAGTGGTGTGTGTTATGATACGACTTTTTTCTCCCCTTGACGTACGTTAAAAACAGGGCATTTCGGACATGGACGAGAAAAGCAGGAGGCTGGTGGAACTGAACGTGCAGGAATCGTGCATCAACCTGTTCGCGAACCCAAGTGAGCTTTGAGCGTGGGTGTTGTTGTTGTTTTTGCTGTTGTGCTTGTTGTCGATGATGTTGTCATCGGCTTGGTGTTTCTGCGTAAATGAGTATTGTTTTTCGATTTCCCATCTTGGTATTTTGTTCGCCGGTGTTCCAACCGCCCACCGGTCTCTGGTGGTGCGCTCGCGTGCGCCCCGGCACGTGTGTGATAGTCGTGCAGAAGAAGCAGGCCACTCACTCCATGCCCAAGATTCATGGCTGGGCATACGATGTGGGGAACGGACTTCTGAAGGAGCTTGACATCGACTTCAAGGTGCGCAACATGTGTTTTTTCGTTAGATGAAGCCACGGCTCTTTTTAAAACGGCCGGTTCGGGCGCGCGCCCCTGATGGTACCCACGTCGGTAGTCGTTTAAGCCTGTCCGTGCGGCCCTTTCTTTTTTTTTGACTCGCCAAGCGAACAATGCCTCTCTCGTTTTGGTGTTCTTCCCGGGTGCAGCCGTGGGAGATTCCTCATCAAACGCTTGGTTTTCTTCCTATTCCCTCTGCCGCTTTGCGAAGAGTATGTCCTCTGTCAGGGAGTACATACGACCCAAGACATGCTTTGCCCCCTCCGTTGTTCTTTCGTGTTTCGGCAGGCGGAGATCAGGAAGTACCGCGACGTGTACCGGCTGTACGAGTTCCCGCGGCGCCCGCCGTCGCACAACGGAGCCAACGGGTCGATGGTTCCTCGCAGAAGAGACCGCCACCGAGTCGTAGATCCAAAGGTGGCCCAGGGCTGGGCCAAGAACACCCTCAGAGACACCAACAACGTGCCTCAACAATAGAACTCCGTGCCAGGTGTAGGAGCCCGCTCGGTTGTCAGTCATTGAGCGGCGTCTAGGGAGTGTACCACGGCGGAAGAATCTGCTAAGGTGTTTAGAAGCGAATGAAGAAGTGAGAGACGGATACAAATATAGAAGCGCAAGACCCCTTGTCGCCGACTCTAGCGGCAAGCCTTGCTTTGCGTAGGTTAGCGTTACTTTGCCAAGGTTAGGTTTTAGCCACGCTTAGCTTCTAGAAGCGTCGCGTCCGAGCAGTCAGAAATACTACAATAGAAGTAGATTTCAACCTGAAGGGATCGACTGCATAGAGAGTCTCCGGCTCATGAGCTCAGGCCTCTGGTACGGTCGGCCTTCAAATCGCTCTGGACGCTTACGCTATTTCAAGGACGTGAAATGTGGGGGCACTGCAATACGTATCTCGACAGCCTGACGAGTTCCGCGGACAATAGCTGGCAAGAAGAGATGGTCATTTTGGTATCCAGACAATCATTTGGATACTTGTTGATGGAGGGCACGCGTTCTTGTCAGCGGTACCCCGCTTAATAAGATATCCCGTGAACATGGCGTGTCGTCTGATCCGGCTTGCCGCGTTCCTCGAGGTTTTACAGTTGCTGAGAGACGGGACGGGAGGGTGTAGCGTGGCATAGGGGTGCCTTGGAATGCTGCGGGGGGCCCCAATCTCTCTTTCGGGACGCAGGCACTCAATGTTAGTGGTTGAAGGATGGCAGTCGCAAGAGAATCAACCGACGCGCCAAAAATGCGCCTTTGGTGAGCACTGACTGTAGGACTGTCCACGTCATAGGGCGCCGCTAGCCGACCAGTCTTGTCCTTTCGAGCACTCCTTCCGTTCCTCTCGAGGGTGGAAAGGAGAATCGGTCTTTAGAATGTTTTGATGAGTCTTTGTTGTCGGCTAGCCGCACCTTTGGGGCCTGTGCACTCCGACATTGGTGTGTCGTATTCTAATTTAGAAAAATAGATCACCCCCGTACGCTCCATCGAGGGGGTACATGGGTCGATACTGCCAACTTTTTTTGTGGTGCGTGCGCAGTCGGCGAGTGGTACTCCGCTCCGTCCAGGCACGGCTCCACTTCAAAGCACCACAAGCCTTGGGGAAGGGGGACCTGTGTCCGTCTCTTCACCGGGAGGAATTAAATGCTACGCACGTTTGCTTACGTGCCATAGGTGCATATGATAGTATGGGAGTTTCGGGAGGCAGGCCGGAAAAATTAGTTCGGATGTGAGTGGAGTGTGAGCGTGAGCTCAGTGTTGGCATGGTGGCGCGTTTGGCTTGAAGCTTTTGCTTAAGCTTATTCGTCGTTGTTTTCCCAAAGTACGATTTGGCCTGCGCAAAGGTTCTTGAGATTTTTTTGCCGCATTCGTCAGAACCAGGTAGTCTTCGTTCTTTAGCTTCATCTTTCGTTTGTCTTTGAGAAACCATATGAGTTTCTGGTTGTGTTTTTTTCCCTGCGCGAACGGTGTTTGTCTAAGATTCCATAGTATAAATTCTTCGCCTGCCTTGGTGAATATATGCAAAATTCGGAACGAAGAGGCGCTGGCCTGAAGAGTAACCGTTTGCTTTTCTGGTGTGGTGACCACGCAGAATTCGACGGCATGCGAATTGCTTCAAGTGTGGAACGGGGGGGTCTCACGCATCGACATAGTTGAACAAGTGATGTTCAGATCGGTGCAAAAATGAAAATGCTACTGCAGAGGTTGGATTGAGCACCAATCAGCTCAACCAGAGCTGTGCGGCTGTTTTAGCGCCGTTCCCGCAAAGTCTACCGTAGTGTCCGCCTTTGACCCTTCGCCACCTACATGGGGAAGAGTGCGATCCGCGCATCCAAGCTCGACCGGAGCCGTGTGGGTGCATCCGCCTTTGGTCCTTCACCACCTATTTACCCCTGATCAGAATCAAGTGGCCGATATGGACCTATTCATTCTTCAGTATGGACCACCATGAGTTTCACACTCGGATTCGAGGTAGCGACGTATTTCCCCCACACGTATTGGTGTTGTCCTTTGCCGTTTTTATTTTTGCTCTCTATTTTTTAGCTACGATATTCCTGCAGGTGTGAGCACAAATATTGTCTCCTTGTGGTAGAAGAGCAAACCAAGTTGGATTTTCGAAGAATGTATTGTCCGGTTGAGGTGAAACACTCGTCAACCACGAAAAAAAAAATGAGACATAATGATGCCTGTTTTGCGCTGAGGACGGTAGATGTAAAATGGCCCAAAAATGGCCCAGGTTGCCCTGGAGAACACCCTGTAACCATGGGGAGGGGACCCTTGAAAAGCCATCACCGTGCTTTCCATCCAACTTCTCTCATTTTTATCGCCGTGCCCCCCCAGCGAATAACGCCAGTATTCATTCTTGTTACCATTTACGCAATGCTCATTTTCGAAACGGGTCATTTGTTCTTGACCGTCTGTATCGGCCACTTGATCCTGATCGGAGCGGTACGTGAGGAAAGCGCGATTGGCGCAATCAGGCAAACCCTTCGCCGAAGCAGGTCACTCTGGATCGGCGGCTGTTCCACTGTTGTTCACACCGGAAAAAATGAACCTGTTGGGTCTGGTTGGTGCTTCGAGGGGGGAGACAGTATTCAAGGATGCCCGGCGTCTGCGTACGTTCGGAAAGCGCCTCAATATAGTAGTTGACATTTTAGAAATCGAGCCACAATAAACTTGATATGTAACATAGAACTTTTGAGAGTTCGGTTTACGTACTCTACAACCAGTACAACGGTCATTTGTAGGATGACCCCAGGAACTACGAGCCCCAGCGCTTTCTCTATTGGGGCTTCTCAGTGAAAATCACGCGCTAGAAGGAAAAGAGTCACAAAAGACAGAGGAGCGAATGAAACAGGCACGATGGTGAAGTGACCTACGGTGAGAGAAAGGGAATCACAGAGGCCGACGAATAGAGAGAGATCGAAATGGGGAGAAATCAGAAAATAATGACAAAACGACAGTACAAAAGTTAGATAGGCCTTATGCCGAAAGTAAAAGTGGCCAATACTTTATATCTATTGAATATTGCTACAGAGGAAAATATGTAGGCCGCATCTTTGCCAAACATTCGATTCTCGAAGGCGCGTCCAGAATGGGGTTCAAGACGGAAGGATTCCAAAAGACAGCCCACTGAAATATTCTCACTTGTTCGGCAATATATTCCCCTACAGAGTGAAGAGAGAGAGACAGAGAGACACAGAGACAGAGAGACAGAGAGAATGAGAGACAGACAGAGAGAGAAAGAGAGACAGACATACAGACAGACACAGAGCGAGAGAGAGAGAGAGACAGAGAGAAAGTAAAACCCATCAATGTTTGCTGCGTTTGCGGCGCATCGTTGTTGCACAGGAGTTGACTCACAAAATACTCATGAATGTGAACATTGCGGGACATGCTCCCGCATGTTGACAACCTTACTTGCTGACAGGCACTGTGTCAGCACGGCACACGCAGCCAGGTTAGCGTTTGCATTGTGTGTCACGACCGAATCCGCTCCTGCAGGGGGTGGCCACGTAACATCAGCTCACTGTCAAAAGGGGGAGAGGTTTCGGGCTGTTATCCCTGCACTTCGGATACCTCGAAACATTAACATTTGCTTCTCGATCTCTTTACGACACATACATGTGGCCGTTCGAATTTATGTCGGGCGGATTCCCGTTTTTGTATGGAAATCTTCAAGGACGAATTGGTCTTCAATTCGTCGGTGACAGAGTAGTAACCAAACGACAGTGGATATAGGGAAACAAGTAAGAACAGGCAGCAGGGAGAGGCAGAACACGTCGACCACACGGAATGAAGTAGACAGAGTGAGAAGGAATGAAATGAAAAAATTGGGTTAGTCAAAACTAGTCCGAAGAATATGAATATTAACTGAAGCCACAACCTGAGAGAAGAACCGAGGTTGAGCAGACAGAGGGAAGAAGTGCCATGGTGTCATAGAATATAGAGGGGCGTAGACAAGGCTCGTGGGTTGGGAGGCAAGGGTAGATGTTGTAGGGAGGCCGGCGGGACGCGAGATGGCAAGGCAGGACAAGGGTCAGGGAAAGGGTTGGTTTGGCGAAGAGAGATACCAACCATAGTCAGGATGGGGAAGAAAGAAATTTATGTAGCCAGCGCCTCGGCTGGCTCCTTTCAGGTGTTTGTCGACATATGATGTCACGTAGGTCCGATAAGACATTGACTGAGAGGAAGGAGGCTACGAATAAATCTCTCCGGCGAGGCCTTGGTCGGACGCTATAAACCATATAGCGGGAGAGGGGTCGGGGGAATGGGTGGGGTTCGCGAGGAGGGATTGGCGAATGTGAGTGAACAAGGGACGGGTTGTGTGAGAGAGTGAATATGTGGTCAGAAGCTCGGGGGATGTAAGATGGTATGGCGGGAGGAGGGTCGAGGAAGGTTTGGCGAGAGGGAATGCCACGAACGTGTGAGGGGAGGGGGAGTGGTCGGGTGGCGCGGAATCCTTCTAGCCAGGGTCCGCGGCTGGACGTGAGATTGTATGGCGGGAAAAAGGTCGAGCGATTCCACACTGAAGAGAGTGAGAGTGAACAAGGTATGAATATGAAGGGAATGAATCGTTCTAGCCGGGCCATTCGGTAGCACCTACGATAGCACGGCGCGAGAAGGGCTGGGGGATAAGGGTGTTGGAGCGATCCAAGCAGATGAGAGTAAAATAGCGATGCACGGGTCGGGCGACAAGAAATGTTCTGGCGAGGGCATCGAGATGGAAGGGCGGGAAAATGGTCGGGAAGAGGTTGGGGTAAGTGAGAGCGATGTCACGCGGCCAGAGTGAGTGAACAATGCATGAGTCGGAAGTACATTATTCGTGTGGTCAAAAGCTCGGGGTGACGTGAAATGGCATGCATGGCCAATGGTACAGTGAGGGATTCCGTTGGCAAGGAGCGATGCCGCGTTGTGAGATTGAAATGAATGAACAAGGGACTGGTTCAGAGGAGGCACGAAATCGGCCTTGTAGTCAAGGCCTCTGCTAGACGGAAGACGGCAAGGCGGGCCAAGGACGTGGGTTTGGAGGCCAGCTATGTGACAGAGTACTGGGCGAACAAGACATGGGTTTGGAGGCAAACATTCTGTGAACCCAGAAGCTCGCTGGGAAGCGAGCGACTCCGGCGCTGTGAGACCCTTGGTTCTTCCACTTCCACGAGGTACACCGACGGGTTGTTTCATGTCTGCGCGAAGGTAACCTCGCTTGGACGTTCCTGGTGCGAGCAATGCGTGGGAAGCCGGGCACCGACAGAGTCTCGGATGAGCGTCCCAGCGGTGTGATGCGTTTAATTTGCTCTGTTTCTTCTCTGGTTTGAATCGCGCGCCTCAGAGGAACCCCGCCTTTGTGGTCACACTTTTCCCGGAGAAAACCCGGGGTCGGGAGAGGTTGACGATCTGCTACGAATTTTGGCAACACATGCCTTAGCACGGCCTTCTGTTATTGGAGCACGAACAAACCGGTGTGACGAGGAGTGCCCTATTTTTCTTCCTCCTCAGAAGCCAGCAGATTGAAAATGAGTGCCCAATAGATCGATCTCGTTCTGGTTGAAAAGGAGGGTTATTTCAAACTTGGGGCGCCTGCATCGTGTGGAAAAGGCCCACGTTTTGAGGTTTGTTCCCCTTCCTGGGACAATGGGACTAGGGGGAAAAGGTTGCGCTTCGCGCTCCGCGGTTCAGTACAACCACCAGACAGACAAGACAAGACAAGACAAGACAAGACAAGACAAGACAAGACAAGACAAGACAAGACAAGACAAGACAAGACAAGACAAGACCAGACAGGACAAGACAAGACAAGACAAGATAAGAGAGGACAAGACAAGACAGGACAAAAGACAAACCACAAAAAAGGAAGGACGCTTTCGAAACGACACCACTACAAGCAAACACGACAGCTATCCGGAGAGACTATACCACGAATCTCCACACCAAGTCGACTTCCGCAACACTACTCCTGAAATCTGTCGAATACTGGGAGCCGAAACTCGCAACCCAAAATCCTCCCGATGTCACCGGCGCAAACCAAAACGCCTATTCATTCGTAGCCCAACAGAAAAACGGAGTACCATGTACTACAACAACACACATTCCTCGACACACGCGTTCCACGCCAATGACTCCGTCCAGTTTTTCGTGTGTGTGGATTGTCTCACGAATGCGGCAATAGCAGTGCTGCTCTCATTCACCAACAACCGTTCCGTGCGCGTGAATGGACATCCAGAGTTTTGCGCTGAGAGGGATGACTAATGAACTCTGGCTCCTTGTTCGGCGACCGGTCAGCCCGTTGCACGCCTCTTTCGGCGTTCATTTTTTACGGCCCCCGTTATTTGTTGATCGCCGTCGGTGTGGCAGTAGCACCACCACCAGCAGAAGCAGCAGCGGCAGCAGCGGCAGCAACACCCGCCCGGACTTTGTCGAGGTCGAAGGACACCGGGATATTGCCGCAACACAAGAGAATGTACCTGGTTGCATGAGAAGATGGGGATTTCGAGTTCCATATACAGGGGTAGCGAGGTATGTGTTCATGCGGTCAACTAAGCGCACACCGGAATTCAACTTGTTTCGAAGCCGTCAATGCCCCGTAGTAGTACGACTTGTCGAAGTTTGCTGCATGCGTTTGGCTTGAAGAAACCCATCGAGATTGGCAACAAATGACCCGCGGGTTGAAATTTATCCGTCATCCAGAAGGTCAGCCCTCAACTACCGCTCGCATTAAATATGAAACGAGCACCTAGGGACGCCAGAGGTGACACTCCTTTCTGTCCCGCTCTCTCCCCCCCCCCCCCCC